TTATTAATAGCTCAACCTTACAATATTTATGCTAATGGCAGATGTAGACACTAAAGGAATAAATCTTCGTTAAAAATTTAGAGATTTTGATAATGACAATAGACTTAAAGTCTCTACCTAGCAATTTCAATAAGTCCTTTTGAAAGAAACATATCTCTCATCATTCTAAATAGATTTAATAATAAAGTACTTTGATCCGTAACTTAGAGGAGTCATAGAGTATAATGATATAATGACTTAGACAATATACAGTACTCCTTTTAACCAGCTATTGTAAAACATCTAGATTGACACTAAACTTATTCCTATTTACATATTTTTTGCTCTTGAGGATTTAGAGCAGGTCAGAATTTAGAAACTAAAGGAATAGTTTTTGGATATGTTCCACTTAAATGACTAAGAAAAAAAAGTTCTTGATTTCAATTTTAATCAATTTGGCAGTTTTGCTGATTAATGGTTTAATGATGTCTTTAGCAATGAGGATTTGAAATTTCAATTATTTTTACCATTGTGTACAGGTGGAAATATGCTAAATGATATAGGTCTAAACGGTGGTTTCAATAATATGCTTGAATCTGCTTTTGAATTATTAAATGTCAACCAGTACAATTAGTCAGTGATATATAACAAAAAGCTGTTTGACTAAAATGAGAAATTAGTCTAGCTTAAGGATTAAAAACCAGTAGATAACCATGTTAAAAGTGATTAGTTACCAGAATAGATTTAGCTTGCCGAGTTTGCAGTTAAAAATGTGGATAAGGACCACTTAGAATTAATTCCTAGAAAGTAAAGACAAGAAATATCTTCAGATATCGACCTGACAAAGTTTGCACCTTAGAAAGTTTTAAGAAAGGAATCAGCTTAAAATGGCAAAATGAGGAAAGCAAAGGGGTTAGCTATTTGAAAATTACTAATAAAAATGAAGCTATTGGCAATATAGAGGATTTCCTATTTGAACTACTTTTTTTAAATTATTAGAATAAAGTTTATCTAATTCTAAATTAGCTTACTTTTGAAAATTAGAAATCCTTGGGGTTTTGGGGTTTTGGGGTTTTGGGG